AAAAAAAAAAAAAACAAGGAAATGACAAATTCAGGATAGTGGTTAGTTCTGGGGTAGAGGGAGGAAATACAGACTCTATGATTTTCAGAATGCTCTAGTTCTTATAAAAACATCTCAGCACAACAGGAAAGCCGAGTACCACATTTGGAAGGAGGCCCGCCACCCTGGCAGCGCTCAGCAGCAGGTGCCCTGTGGCCTTTCTTCTGACCTTCCACACGGGTTACCATGACCTTGGGCTCCTTTTGGACAGCCACAAATCCTCAGCAAATTCCCCACAATCCCACCAAATTCAAGTGCTTTCTTCCCATCTCTTCTGCAATTTGGCCAGTTCCTCTCCAGTGTGTAATGAATGATTTTTTTTTTTTAACTGATGACAAGAATAATCACTGTTAACTGTCACTCAGGTCTGGGATGTATCTCAGTGGTACAAGGTTTGCCTGGCATGTGCCAAGCCCTGGGTTCAAATCAGCATTGCAATCAATCAATAAATCCAGGGTGATCTTTAAAAATCTTTAGTTGGTATTTAGTTATTCTTCTTAGCTCTCTCAATGCCTTCCAAGCTATTATCCAAATTCTTAGTAACAATGTACACAGGCTGGGAAAGGGCAGAAGCTCACAACACGCCACTACAGATCACTCTCCAGAGCAATCTTGGGAAGAATTTGCAGTCAGCAAAGAATCCTATTAACTGTTCAATCTATTGACGTACCCTTGTTTACAATGAGACTTGGTCAAATACTATACAGAAATTGATACCCCTTAGTAATACTGATTAGTTATTAGAAATAACAATAGCACTTAATGAGCCCCAAAATAATTTTTAGCACAAACTATTTCAATGTTTCTCACCTTGGGTTCACAAAAGTAAAACCATACAGTTCTCATTAAAATGAAATCTGAGCCTCATAGGCCAGAAGCTGACTATGTACAGACCTAGAATAACATTAACTATTGAGTATAAAGGTACAGCAGATCGCACATTGCTTGGTGCTCCCCAAAATTCATTTTCTTCCCTAGCATAATACAACTGCAGTACCATCGGTTCTTTCAACAAGAAACAGCACCACGATCTCATGGGAAGAACAGAAGAGGAGCCTGTGGTAGTACAGCCAGTAACCAAAGAAAACATGGGAAATCCGGGGAGAGCATTAAAAATGTCTAAGAATGTATGCTGATATAACAGATACCTATAACACCATCGGGCACTTAGAATTCCCACTGTGTAATTACCTAGGTATCCAAGTGACTCTTAAGCTCTGTGAAATCACCAAAAACAATGCAATAAAATCCCTGAAAAACCTGTTTAGTTCGCTAACAGACAACACAAATAATAAACTATTTCCATGAACCGAGGTATGATCTAACAGAGTCACCATCAGTGAAACACAATTTAATGTTTTACTGCAGTCTGCTGTTTCCCAGGCTGTCTATATTAGGCTATGTAAGAACTGGTGCAGGGGCATGCATACATTATCTTTCAGGTGACTTCTAAAGAGGACTCTGGCAAGCAATGAAAAGAGCAAGTGCGTAACTCGCTTTGCTCCTTTGGTCTGCTTTGCTGTCGCCAGTGTTAACCCGGATTTAATGTAAGACTCTTTCTCCTTCTCATGGTCCAGCTTCTCCTGCCACAATCCCTAATCAGGTATACACAGACTTGAGATCTCTGACTCGGCATCATGTTTCCTGATGAAACAGGTAAGGAAGGAGAGGCAAAGCTAGGAAAGAAAACATCTTCATGAAATACAAAGAGCCCAGCAGCAGATGTGGGAAGGATTGCTGAGCACGGAGGAGGCTGGCTGATGGGAAGGCTGTCAGAAATAACTTTCCATACAAGAGCTGGACTCTCAGGTGCTCGTTCCCTAGGAAGACATCTGTGTTTGCTTCTTTACACTAAGTAGATCCTATGATATAAAAACACACAGTGGGGCCTTGGTTCACAAACTTATTTCCACATTTCTAGCTGCAAGAGAACTGCAAGCAAATATGCCAGAATCGTAGAAAGAAATAAGTTCGTGCACTGAGGCACCACTGTACAGTGTTGATATTCTGCCTGGAAACTCAGCTGCCAAAAGGGACGAAACTCAGTGTCACAGGCATAAACAGTTACCTAGAAAACTGCAATAAATGTTTGCTACAGAGACTGCTGATACACAGCACAGGTCTTTAGGGGTGCATTATCTCAGGACAACATATGGCTACTCTCCAACTGGAAACAAATCTTTTCAGTTAGTCCCCTCAGGATTTCAGTTTCAACTACGTGTGGATGTTTAAGCAAATAAAACTGTCTAGTGTAGCTTAGTGAGGATGGCTGTAAAGCTAGTGGTATTTTAATTGACTTTTTAGGTTTTGTTTCACTTTATTTATTTTGTCTTTTGAGACAGAGTCTTGCTATGCAGTCCAGGCTGGCTCTGCCTGGCCTTCCTGTTTCACGTATCACCCAGTAACTTTCCACCACGAAGCCAGAGGGTTTAACTCACTCATACCATGCCCACTTGGCCCGACACATGCACATCACACCCTTTCCAAACCACAGCTCTGAACTAAACTGAGGCTCGAAGTGACCTCATAAAGGCTACCAAACAGCCTTCTGCATCATGGGGACCTCTCCTTTCGTTCCTACCCCACATCTCTCCTTTTCTGATCCGTTCTCTAACAGTGAGACACAGGAGCAAACACACCGTCTGTGTAATCGTGCCCGTCTTTTGCTGTGCTGCACTCTGGGCCCCCTTCTACTGCTGCCATCCTGGGGCACCCCTTCTCCTTCATCTCCAGAATTCTTCTCACCCCGCTTTGAGCTGGACCTCAGTCCTAGGACAGAGGCAGCACACCGTTAACAGCCCCAATCACGCCACTCACTAGTTGTCGGGCCTTGAGGCTTTTCGTCTCTGTGCCTCAGTTTCCCATTATGGGGCAGGCAGACAGTACCCACCACACACTGCTGTCAAGTGCAGAGAAAGCACTACATAGGCGCCAGCTGTGATGACCCCAGAGAGGCCACATCTTCAAGACAGTACCTGTCAGAAGCATCATCAGCCCATGCTCACCCTCAACTGACAGCACACAGGAGCCAACTACTCACCCACTATGTCAAAGGCCCTGCTGCACTTCTACTGGCCCTAATGAGGAGCACGATGGTAGTTCAATCCTTGACTCTTTGTAACTGGCCTATTTCTCTTCTATAATTTGGAGAAAGATGACATTTAAGTGACCACTAGCCTTACCTTGTGGAGAGTAATGTGGCCTTTGTTTATGCACATGGTTGAGAAATGTTAAGATTTAATATATTAAAATGCCTATCTCCTATTAAGTAAGCTGCCATCTTAAACGTTTACTAATCCGACTCAATCTTTTTTTTTTTTTTTGGAGACAGAGTCTCACTTTATAGTTCAAACTGGCCCTGATCTCACTATGTAGCCCAGGCTGTCCTTGAACTCTCGGCAATCCTCCTGCCTCACCCTCCCAAGTGCTGGGATTACAGGCATGCACCATCATTCCCAGCTGCCATTTTAAACAAAAGCACATACCAGTTTAGATCAGCACTGCTCAAAAAGTGATTCCATAACACAGTGACGTCGTGTGCTGCTAAATATCTATAAAAGATAAATGCTAGCAGTATTTTTCTCTGAAAACGTATGGTATTAGTACTCCACAAAGTATCCAATGGGTAGGTAGTTTTTACCACGCAACAATTTACTGTTAGGACATGGTTCATCGAATCCAAGAATGCTGGGTATAGCACAAGGCCACCTGACCTACAGATATGTAACATGTAACGCGAGCAATGGGACACAGGGAGCACATCCAATAACCACAGCGCAACAAGCTGTGATCACTGCTTCCATCAGATAACTCTGGAAACACAGACTACGTTAGAAATCTGCAAATGTTCTATGGATAAATAGTGCAAACACTAGTGTAGACAAAACGCTAAACCCGAGATACAGATGCGTGCATGCACACACACACCTGACACGAAATGCTGAAACACTGTCTTACTAGAGAATTCACAAATGTAAGGTTACTGAAAACAATTAGCTGGAGAATACTACAGAATGTTTTTCCTTTTGTAATAGCAAAAGCCTCAGAAAAATTATTTGGAATGAGTATTATTCCTTAATTTTCTTACCCCCAGAGAAATCTCTACGTAACAGCACACGTATCAATTAGTCTGTGTATCAGAGAGGATACCGGCAGGACAAAAAGGACACAGACTGGATCTTTTTATAGTAGCAGTTCCAAGGACTTTACAAAGGAGTGAGCAGCAAGTAGTTCGGTACCCTTAGAGGCTGTGGCCTGTCAGAGTGCTGAAGGGACAAGAGAGGGGAACAGTTACTGGAACCCAGAGAGGGTAACTGTCACCAAGAGAAGCAATGACCTCGGGCAGGAGGGTGCGGGCACCTCCAGGAGCTTTAGAGGGAAGAATAAGGACAATACATAGCCCAAACCTGTTCTCTCATGACAAAACAGCTTTCCAGGTCCCTCTCACTGCCGGCCTACTCCAAAGCCAGAGGGAGCATGTCCATGTCATTCATAAAATCAGGTTTCCAGGGCAACCAGAACAAGGTAAAGAAGGTGGAGGAGGGCTGGCAGGGTCAACAAGCCTTTACTGTGCATTTTGTTTTATCTTCCTTCTTTTCTTTACCCTCCTTCTCTTCCTTATGACAAGAATGTCTAACAGATGTTTGGAAATGACTGAAAAACAGTTTCTAAGTAATCTAGAGCTTCCTAACATCTGTGTAAAAGAAGCTTTCATATCTGGACCAAAAAAGTCCTATCTGTATTTTGGTACAGTGAATCAAAGTCCTTGAAGCTACGACCACCAACTCAAATCTAACCCCAGACCTGAAGTGAGCTAATAAGCTATACAACTTTCCTTTCATCCACATGGTGATAAAACCCTGTGGTGTCTTAACACTTCAAACAACTTTCAGTTTAAATCTACAGAGGTTTGCATAAAAACCCAAAGATGAAACCATACCTGCTGAGATAGTCTCCTGAATCGTTTTCTCACATTTCATGAAATGGGAATTACACCAGCATCTCAAATAAAAAGTAACGATTATTGCACATGTTCCAAGTTTGCCTTTACACGATGTCCAAGAAGAAGCAAAACTAAAGAGTGATGACACATCAGAACAGAGGTCACTTCTGAGGGGAGGAAGAGCGCTGGGCTTCGAACAGACGTGAGGGAAGCTGCTGGGTGCCACAGGAATATTCTATTGTTTTTGTTTGTTTTTGGTTTTTTGGTACCAAGGATCGAACTCGGGTCCTTGTGCTTGCAAGGGCAGGCGGCAGAACCACTGAGCTAAATTCCAGGCCCTGCAGAACATTCTAGATCTAGATCTCGCCTTATAGCTTGGTGTATGTCGCACATAACAAGAATCATGGGCTGTATGGCTAAGGTTAGTAGTACACGTCAAGCATTAAAGTACTGATTATTTTATTTGCGCTTGCGAGGCAGGAGCATTGCCACTGCTACTGAGCTAAATCCCCAGCCCTATACTTCAATTTTAAAAGAAATACTCAGTTAAATGAGTTTTACAATGATTCCTTAGCAAGTATCTTAGTGCAGAAGGCTTAAGTTTACAGTCACCACGACTCAGAAAACTGTGGTCCACAGGATCACAAATTGGCCTTTTGCTCATCCTCACACAAAATTTGTTTTTTAAAATCTTGTGCATTTTCAAAGTAAGGGAGCATATTTTTTTTTAAAAAAGCCAAGAGTACACCTTCTCATAAAAATAAAATCACTGTCTAAAACACCACAACTAAATTCCTGCCCCATGACAATAAAGCGGCTCTAACAGAGAGGGTAAGCATCAAACGGCACCTCACACTGCACTTGCACAGTGCTACAAAGGCACTGAGGTCACTAAAGCTCTGCCACGTGTCACTATCGTGGGTCCACTATTAGTGCTCGCGATGCCCCCAACAAGCAAGCTCTGAGGCCCTGTCTGCAGCCCACCCATGAGTGGTCACTGGATCCAGCCTGCTGTCTTCCAGAAAATGCATCTAACAGAGGAATTCATACACACTACGAACTGGCCATGGTGGAGATGTGGTCCATGAGAAAATGTGTTCTACTGCTAAAACCAAGTAACGATTTTCATCTTCAACTAAAAGCTTTTGCCTTTAACACAGACACTGGTGGCTATTAACAAATGGAAATGAGCTTGAATCTGCACAAGTGTATTTGAACGCTAGTCTACAAGTGGCTTTGGGAAGACAGGATGAAATATTTCAAATGCTAGTGCTTGTGAACAAGACATAAAGCATGACACAAAAAAAATTAACATTCGGCACTTGGAGCTGAAATACAAACAAGATAATTCATGAATATGGTAATGACTGTTCTCGGGCATAAAATGCAAAAGTACTTAATGCATTTTAAGTGAACTTTAAATCTGAAGTAAACTTCCAGAGTATCATCTTCAAATTTTAAAACTACCATCCAACAAAAGTCATTGTGCAGACACGATCTGGGATTTATGACAAGCCAGCAAAGTTAGATTATAGTTGTTTTCGTTTCATTCACCACATTTTCAGAAGTTTTGCCCAACAACAGTACTAACCAGTTTATGTGAGACATGTACAATGTTAACAAAATAACTACAAACGTTTTAGACTTGGCCATGTAATTACAAGTCCTGCTACTGCTCCATAAAGCGCCATCTTTACTCGCCATACCTTTCAGTGTGGCAGAGCCTGGATCCCCACTGAAAGTAGTGGGACTTAGGAAACTCTTTACTGGATGGACTAAGGAAACTTAGGTTACTCTTTACTGAACTCCCAAACTGTGTATTCTTTTAAAAAGCAAACTGCAGTAATTTTATTTCTGTGCTAGGACAATCAAAGTGGAACACTTCACCCTGTCTTCCATCTCAAAGAAGTCAAAGGACTGCTACTGAATGTGTCTTACATACAAGTGTGTATCAAGAGTGCACTTTGACTCTACTGTGCTGTGTCCCACTCAGCAGTCCTGCACAGCAGTGCTCCTTTACCTGCAGGTTTAATTTTATGATAAAAACCTACCACACACAGGGCTCAGTACTCCCAGATCTCAGGCATCCGCCAGGCGTCTTGAAACAGACCTCCACAGAGGTGGGGAGCTACTGCAACTCTGATCTCACTCTCAAGGAATGTATGGCAAATCCTGTCCCTCCAAACTACTTACCTGAATATATTTCCGCTGAGTTTCATCATTTAATACATGTGCAACATGCTTGGAAAAAATCTTTTCCCTGCCAGTTCTGGCATGGATACCAACCATGGTGACTCCAATAGGCCAGGGAGCATTTCCAATGGCCATCTGAAGGTAAGCGTCATTCGCCTGAAAGGAAAGTATGAGAGATCAGAAAAACAAAGAAATATTGTGTTAGTCTGAAGTTTTACGACAGTTCTTAACCCCTCTTGGGCATTCTGGAAATACTACGCTCCTGTCATCCAAAGACATTAAAATACGAAGTGACTGCCCTGCTTGGGACCCACAAATGCCCATGGGAAAACAGAAACCACAGCAAAGCTATGAGTAAGAGACAAGTACCCTTCAAAGCCTTGTACAGTGGAAACTAATAGAGTTCTGATCTGGAATTAGCAGGTAGCTCATCTGATGCGCTGACAGAAGCCCCAGGGGGATCCTGAGACCCAGTCTTCTCCACAGGTGGCCCACACACGGCAGAGGCTAACTGGCTTATCAGCATCCAGCCTGAAATCACAGCGCTCTGCACGGCGCTGCAGGCCTTTGGCAGCAGCAGGGACTCGTGTGCTGGGACCAAGTGGGGTTCAGAGCAGAGAGCAAACAGAGGCTCGATGCTGTGCAGGAAGGGGTCCAACAGCGAAGGGGACAGGGTCCACTTTTCACTGTGGCCCCCAACCACCCACTTGCCAAGCCTTAACATATAGGTTACAGCAGGTGAAGACAAAAACCAGTGAAATAAATGGCCTTTTTTCTAAAGCAAGTCCAGCTAGCTATGAGGAAGGCAGAGAAAAGAACAGGAAGCAAGTAAATTCTAAGACTCCCAGGGCTTCAGTGCAAGCCTCAAACATTTCAATTTCAAAAACCAAACACCTATATGTGACTGATATGCAGAGCTGATTTCAAAAGTTAAGCTCTATGGACAGGTTAACTGGGAGATTGTTTTCTACCCTAAAGATACGTTTGAACTTGCTCTGCTCAACAGAACAGATATAGGATTTATATCACTGATTCTCGTGGGCCAATACTGTTTTCCTAAAATCCCAAAGAGATCCAAACACTTTATTAAAGGTCACTGGTCATTTCTGTGGTTTACACAAAAGCTTTCACTTGGTTAGGATACGTGATCACTGAAAAGTAACAAGAGGAACCACACCCACTTACTCTAGCAGGCAGGGATGGTGACTGAACCCACCCACTCCAGAGCAGTGACAGAACTGGGCAGCTGACAGAAACTAGGAATGCACTCTGTAACTGGAAAACAAGTGTATTCTCCGAGAGAACTGGATCTTACAATAGGTAAGGCTGTTACTCTCTGAGCCTAATGCTCTAGCAAAGAGCCATCCAGTCACCAGCCTCTACCAGGGCTCTGGCCGCTTGGCACACATCCAAAAGCCCCTCCTCAAACTCGACCACAGCTCTGCACCCTCTTCATCCCCTCTACCAGAGGAGTGCCTGCTGCCCATCCAAGTCCTCCACAGGCCACACTCACCCAGCTGCTCCCACTGCTGCCCTTTCAGACCTTCTACAAGCAGAGAAGCTGCAGAGCAGGACAGCGCCCCACAGGGGTCTGCCAGTGCCGCAGAGATGGAGAGGGGCCCTGGCCACTGCGCCAGACACGCCCACGTGCAGCTGTATTACTATCACTTGGAAACCAATCTATACAACATTGTTTCTATGGGAGCTTATTTTAACCCATAACTAACCTTTATAAACTTCGAAATTCAATCCCATTCATAAAGAACACTCCTTCCATACAGCTTGTGCTCTGAAGAACCTTTCACCCTACTTTAAAAATGACCAAGAAGATACAGTTGTAGATTCTCCCAACCCAAATAGCATTACATTATGCACATAACCTAGGTATGCTCATAATAACGTCAATGACAGCATAATTTAAAACATACCTTCACATATTCTCTCTGCAACATGAATTTAATAATATCTGTTATTGATTCTTTAATATCAGCAGGAAGATTCTGGAAAAGAAAAAAAGCGTAACAAATTTCAGTAGCTACTATGTGAGGTGAAAAATAAATGTCATTTATTCTATATCTACATATTCTAATTTGCAAAACTAGTTAATAAAACCATGTTCTGGAAACCTCACCCGTTTGCGGAGCTTTCTGAAAAGCGGTCTGAGGTAGGACTCAGTCTGCTTCTGCGTAGCGCTGTTGAGTTTACCCTGCACACTGCGTTTCACATAATCTTCTCTGGCATTCAATTCTTTAGCCCAAACGCCAAGCAGGAACTGTTGAGAGAGAATGGGTACATTGAGACTGCACCGCCACCCAGTGGTGCAGTAAGTTCAAAGTTAATATTTACCAAGCCACAAACTCCCCTAGTCTGTGTATCACCTTCAGGGCTCAAGGTAATTAATCTACTTACTAAAAAAAAAATACTATCAAATAACTATCTGAAATAAACTTTCACTTTTTTTTAACTTTTGCCTGCTAAATTCAACCAATGTAGATCTATCATCCATGGTATATCATCTTTTTCTTTTTGGTACAGGAGATCAAACTCGGGCCCTTGCGCTTGCACGGCAGGCAGCGGAACCGTTGAGGCAAATCCCCAGCCCTCCACAGTATATCATATTCACCTGCATAGTTCATCAGTCTCCCACATATATCACACCATTTAGACTCTCTACTTATGCAGTATAGACAATAATTCAATTATTTCCACAGTCACCTGACTGGTGGAGAACAAAGGAAAAACAGGCATAAAAATAAAATAGACTATGACCTATTCCTTCCCTCCTTAACCCACCCCCAGAAAACCCTTCTCCAGCCTGTGGCATCCAAGTGTCTAAGCGACATCTATCAGTTCCCATCTCACCTACACAGGAGAGCTGTCACTCAGAGATGAAGACTGTCCCTGTCTCAGTCCATGCTGTCAATTTATTTTAGAATCCTAATGACTAAAATGGAAATGCAAGTAAAAGCATTCCCTGCATTTAAGTCTTAGTCTGAGCTCGCGTTGTAAGTAATCCTCAAAGTGCACCTGGGAACTGCTCAACTCAAGACCACGAAAGACAGGAATGCTTGGTACTCAAGACGGAATTAGCAAACCACAGCAAAGCAGGAAGCCAGGCATAGAACTGAAGACAGGGACAGTGTCCCAAGGTGACAGATGTATTTCCCTACGCACTACCAATGCCCTTCCCTTTCTCCCTTTCCTTCCTTTCCCTCCCTCATCCAAGCTTGTGCTGCACATCTTCCCAAAGTGTTTTCCAAAATAAAGCAACACTTCCAAACTCGTTTATTCAGCTGGAGGGATTCATTCCTCCATGTTCAATGAATCAGCTTTCAAGAAAACAGCCTTGAAAATATATACATTTTCTTTCACTAACCACTACATAGAAATGCATAGCCATATCCCAAAGTATATACACCAACATTTATTGAGAAGTCCCTCTCCGACCTTAAACATCTATCTGATGATCCAAAAACACGAGACACACTTTCAAGCATTCAAAACGCCTCCCCTCCCCTGGTGGAGGATACAGACCTTCAGGAATTTGGTGATGATATCCATGTCCTGGTGATCATCGCCCTGCCCCAAGGACTCTCCCAGAGCCTGAGGAAAAGGGACATCATCAGTCCACTCACTACAGAGTACAGCTGAACACGTGCAAACACCAAACACATAGGCACAAGCAGCACTAGACCATACAGAGCTTTGTCAAAGGCAGCGTTCAATTTTAAACACCTGCTACAACTTCTACACATGTTAAAACCCAAACACTGATTTGCCACTTATATTCAGAAGGCATGTTGTCTTTTATACATCTAAAGACACAGGAGGAAGTAAGGACAATGGCCACTACTGGACATGAAATTTCTTGTGGGAGAAACAAAACTGCTCTAAAATTAGACTATAATGACTGTTACACCACCCTGTAGATAGACCAAAAAACCACTGAACTGTATACCTTAAATGGATAAATTGCATAGTATGTGAGTATCTCAATAAAGCTGTTTTTAAAAAAGTAAGAAAGAAAAGGAAAGACGGAAGAGAGGACTGGTCTAACAACTGGTTAATCAAACCAGTTACTTCAGTGAAATGCAGGGACCACCTGAGACCGGTGATGCAACTATGATCTCACTCTTCAGACTGCTACATGTGCAAGAACCATAAACTACAGGAGAGAAAAATAACAGCTTATCTTTTATGAAGCATTCAAAAACTTTAAGCCATATTTTTCTATGTGCTACTTACATAACACTACTTTTCAATTAAGATTACACATATCATCCCACACTCAACAGTGGTAAAATTAAAGACAGATATTGCCAAGCGTTGGCAGGGTATAAGGGTATAAGTCCCCCACAAACTGTTGCTGGGGTGTGAGTAGGGACAGCTATGGCAGACAGCATCTTGGCAATACCTGACAAGTTAAATACACAGGCATAAATCCCAAATCCTACTGTTTCAGTCCACAGCGCTTTTGTAAGACTGTTCATCACAAAGCTGATTGCGGTCAATATTGAGCTAGGAACAATCCAACTGTCCATCATGATGGGGGAACAAAAAGTAAAATACAGCGAATGTTATAATCTTTAGCAACTGAGAAAGCAAAGCATTAAATATATCTAAAGCATCAAGGATGGATCTTAAAAGCAGAATAAAGTAAAATAAAAAAGTAAAAAGTAAAAAAATAAAGAATAGAAACCCAAAATATGAATAAAAAATAAAAGACAGATAACAGGAAGTAGGGAGACAGATCTTTCTCAAAGGGGAAGGAGTCAGGAGATGGAGGGAGGGGCCGGGCAAGGGGATGAAAACAGGAACTAAGATGTGCTGTGTATGTGTAGCAGGCCCACACAAGGAGCGTGAACACGATGCACCATACACACATGTGCTAATAAAGAATATCACAACACAATATTCCTTGCGTAAATCAAAGGTCTATGCACATACTATACTGGAGCCTTCACAAAAATACCAGCAAATAAAAGGATGCTCGTCAAACATCACAACGGCTACTTCTGAAGGCAAGAGTGGGGGACTACAAACAGAGCGAGAGAAATAACAAAGGCAAGCAGGCAGGCACAGGACAGGGGCCTTGGCACCAGCCCCAGAGGGTAACACACACTGCAGTGAGTGCTCCAGGAAAGGGGTGACGAGACACAGGGCGTGTGTGTGTGTGCGTGTGCATGTGCACGGGGATCACCTCTAACTCTTCAATCGTGGTGTTTTCTTCATGGACTTTCAAGTCATTCTGTGTGTCTTCCTCTCCAGGTTCCTGACCACCCACAATTTCATTGAGGTACTGCTGATCGATCTTGTCCAAAGCTGCTTTCAGATCATTCCTCAAGCCCTAGGAGAGGTTAGAGGGAAAGGACATCTACTATGACATTATATTTTGGTTTTCCTTAATGAGAATTATATTTCATTTTTCTCTCCTTAAGAAGTTAAGAACTTGGCAAAACTAGGGATCCAAGTAGTGAGTCTGATTATAGTCATCACTGCCCGCTGCAAGTCAGCTCCTGCAATCTATCTAACCTAGGAGAACGTACGAACAATGCCAGCAGATGGACAGGAAATAAAAAGACCCACCCAAGCAACAATCGAGTAAGTATCTTCACCCACACTGGAACTCTCCAACGAGGCTTCTGGGAAGGGGACTGCCCCCATCAGAGACCCCAAACCATTTCCCAGCTCAACTAAAATGTCCAGCCTGTTTCAACTACCCCAAGCCCCATAAGCAGTCACAAGCATCCATGGAATAAGCTGGTGTCTCTCTGTGTGCTCGCCATGGCATCTCCAACAACCTGGCAAATTCCACATCCCACGCATTTCCACCACATGCACAAAGATCAGCCGTGAGGGGGAAGAGACGCACAGGGCTGTGCAATGGCTTCAGCTCTGTGGCCGGTGTGAAGGTCACCGAGCTCAGTTCCTCAGGACTCTCCAGCTCTCGGACAATACCCTCACCCCTGCATGCCTCACATGAATAGTGCCACCTATGGTACAGTGCACAGTTCTCAGAAGAATGCTGTGTTTTTAAAATTTCACTCCATCTTTACTGTATATTAGGACTGCTTCAAAAGGCTTGCAAATATCACATCATTTAAAGGTGTTAATAAGTGTACAGTGCATGTTCAGAAGTCACTGAAGCAGTCAGCATTCAATAGGCATGAACTCAACATTATTGTATTAAAAGCATCTGAACCCTTCTCCATTGTTGGCAGGAGTGCAGACTGGTGCAACCACTGTGGAAATCAATACGGAGATACCTCAAAGAACTAGGACTAGAGGTCCTATTTGACCCAGCTATTCCTCTGCTGGGTACCTTCCCAAAAGAATTAAAAGCACCATAACACAGTCATATACGTGCACCCATGTCTATAGCGGCACACCTTGTAATAGACAAAACTTAGAAACAGCCCAAGGGCCTATCAACCGGAGACTGGATAAAGATGTGGCTTTTCTATAAAGTGGAGTACTACTCATCCATAAAGAATGAGACACTACAGACATGTATAGGAAAATGGATGCATATTGAGGCCACACTCACCAGTGAAATAAATAGGACACACATGTATAAATATTGAATAGTTTCTCTGGTGTGAAAAGCTAAAAGTGTAAATAAGGTTCAAATTGTATAAGTGATAACGTGTAATAGGAAAAAAAGGGCTAAAGGAGTAAGGGAAGTAGGAGGGGTAAGGGAAAGGAAAGAAGGGAGAAAAAATATGAGAAAAGGGAAAAATGGAAACAAAGTCTTTGTAAATAAGGAAGGGGAGAGAGGGTAAAGGGAGTGCACGGAAATGGGGAAAAATAATAATTAAGATACATCATTTATCAAAATTTAAAAACTGCCCAGCAAAAGATTCTATTAAGAGAATAATCCACAAACTAAAACACTCACAAAATAGATCTGTATACCTGACAGAGGGCATAATTTAGAATAAAGAACTTCTACAACCATTAAAAAGTTAACAGTCCAATTAATATATGAAGCAATCTGTGGTACATTCATGTAACTGAGTACCACAGGGTGATAAAAAGGAAACCAGTGATGCCTGCAATCGCGTGGATGGAACTAAACTACGTCGTGTTGCGTTGGACAGAAGAAGCCACACAAGGGCCGAACACGTCCCAAGAAATACCAGAACCAGCCAGGTTAAGCGGACTGGCTGAGAAGGGCCACTAGGGGGCTTTCTGAGGAAATGAGAACTTTCTGTTTCGTGAGAATGGTAGGGTTCTATGAATGCATTTATTTGTCAAAATTTACTGAATTGTATGATTAAGATATGTACTTTTTTCTTACAGAAATCTTAACTTCAGCAGCGGTAACCATTTTTCCCTGTAATAATGCCATCCGTCAAACTCCAAACTCTTCTAGTTTATGCGAGACCATGTATTTTTCTAGTTCTGGCTTGACTTCTTACCTTGTTAACTTCTGGTGTGAGGATTTCTATTTTTCTTAATCGTTGAAAAGCATCATAATCAGTTTCTCCAAACAGTCTGATTGGTTCTCCTCTTTCTCTCAATCTTCTGATTACCTATAAAGAGAAACAAATGCCCAATAAATTATTTAATTTTTGAAGAGGAAAAAAAACTGAACATCTTAAAACAGTTTGCATATTTTACCTTAGAATTGAAACATGAGTTTAAAAGAACTGATTTTTCACATTCATCTTCTAAGAGAAATCTAAAATCCTTCAAACATTTGAATCACTTCAATTAGACTACATGAAGATGTGTAATGAAAAATAGTTAAGTCTATTCTGACTCAGATGTCACTGTTAAAACTTTATGACCGAGTAGCTGTTTTCACTGAAAGTGGCACAGATCTGCGACTCAAAGCTACAGCAAGCCCCTCACACAAGCCATGTACATTTTTGTAAGACACAGATGAGCACATCAAGCCTTGCAAGGACATAAGAACAGGGTTCTCCTTCTACATGACTGCAATGGCTCGATCTCATTTAAAACAGCAGAGATCTTTATATATTCTAGGTAATCGTCCTTTGTCTGAGGAGCAGCTGGTAAAAATTTTTTCCCACATTGTAGGTTGTCTCTTAGCTTGGTTGATGGTTTCTTTTGCAGTACAGAAGCTTTTTAATAAGATGAGATCCCAGTTTTGATTCATTCTGCTAGTTCCCATGCTACTGAGGATTTGTTCATAAAGTCTTTTCCTATGCCAATGTCTTCAAAAGTTCTAACTTATATTCCAGCAAGTTTAGTGTTTCTGTTTTAATATTTAGATCTTTAATCCACTTGGATTTTAATTTAGTGCATGGTGAAAGATAAGGGTCTAGTTTTAATCTTTGGCAAGTTGAGATCCAGTTTTTCCAACACCATTTATTAAAGAGGCTATCTTTCCTCCAGTGGGGATGGTCAGCTCCTTTGTCAAAGATGATGTAGCTGAGTGCATTTGGAGTTGTTTTTGTGTCTTCCAATCTGTTCCACTGATCCTCAGGTCTGTTTTTTTTTCCAGTACCATGCTGTTTTTATCACAGTGGCTTTGCAGTATAGTTTCAAATTGGGAATTGTTATACCCACTGCCATGTCTCTGTTGCCTAGGATGGCTTTTGCTATTCTAGGTCTTTTCTGGTTCCAAATGAATTTTTGGATTCTTTTTTCTAGTTCTGTGAAATAAAGTGTTGGAATTTCAATTGGCATTGCATTGAATCTGTATAACTCAAAACAATCAGCCCCCCCAAATATAAGGACCCCATTCAAAAATGGGCATCTGAAATGAACACACATTTCTCAGACAAAGAAGTAAAAGCAGCAAGTAAATATATGAAAAAATGTTCCACATCACTGGTCATTCGAGAGATGCAGATGAAAACAACACTGAGATTCCACCTCACCCTACAAAGAATGGCTGCTATCAAGAAATCACACAATAACAAATGTTGGCAGGGTTGTGGGGAGAAAGGAACCCTTCTCCATTGTTGGTGGGAGTGCAGACTGGTGCAACCACTATGGAAATCAATATGGAGATACCTCAAAGAGCTGGGACTAGAGGTTCCATTTGACCCAGCCATCCCTCTGCTGGGTATCATTCCAAAAGAATTAAAAGAATCACATCACAGTGATATATGCACACCTATGTTTATAGGGGCACAGTTTATAATAGCTAAAACTTGGAAACAGCCCACTTGCCCATCAGTTGGAGACTGGATAAAGAAGATGTGGTTTTTCTATAAAATGGAGTAATACTCAGCCATAAAGAATGAGAAGCTAGAGTCATTCATAGGAAAATGGATACACATTGAGGATATACTCCTAAGTGAAATAAATAAGTCACGTGTAAATACTGAATAGTTTCTCTGGTGTGAAAAACTATAATGGTACATAAGATCCTAATGATATAATTGACAATGTGAAATAGGAAGAAAAGGGCTAAATGTGTAGGGGAAGTGGGAAGGGCAGGGGAAAGGTAATAAGGGAAAAGAAAAAAAACATGAAAAAATGGAAACAAAGTATTTGTCAATAGGGAAGGGAGGAGGGGGTGAAGGGAGGGCAGGGATAAGGGGAAAAATGAGAGCAAGACCTGTCATGTAAAGGTACAAGATCCCAATGATGAATGTAACTGTACTGTATACCTAAAATGTACCAATAAACTCAATGAGGAAAAAATAAATTAAAAAAAAGTAAAACAGCAGAGAGAGAAAACAGCGACCCCTCAGGCCGACACGTGGTTTCAGGGGAACAAACGCTCGTCCTGAAATGGTGACGCTAAGTCAGTTCCGCTCGGCTTTCCGCACCGCTCCACACACAGATTCGCTTGTCAGGACCACATCTAAGTCGGGTCCTTCGGCCGCCTGTTTAGGGACACACAGGACTGACGACGCTGAGTGGCGCAAGGACAAGTGTTTCAAAGCAGGACCGTGAACTTGGGTGACGAGCAGCAGGCACTGCAGCAGCACAGTGCAACCCAAACCTCAGTCCCGGAAGAGAGAGGGGGTCAGAGAGGTGGGCATCTGCAAGGCTCAAAGTGCGGCCTTGATTGTGGGACCTGGGTGAAGGCCACGTCATTACCCATTATATTGCAGTATGTGATACACTTTATGTGTACATGGTATATTCACTTTAAAGAGAAACAAAAATATAATTATGAAAATTAAGGCTGAACCGAATTTTTAAAAAATAAGAACTTCAATCCGGAAGGTCCATCCCCTTGGATTAATAGTGGCTTGGGATTAAGAAATATAAGAGGTCCTCTAGTACTATCTCTAATCAATGTAGAAATGACCTCAAAATGTCGCTGTCAGGTTCCTGTCTGCTAGGTTGGTTTTGGGGTTTTTTTTTTTTTGGTACCAGGAATTGAACTCAGGACCTTGTGCCTGCCAGGCAGGTGTGGCACCACTGAGCGACAACCCTGTCTACTAATTAACAGATACCACATATATTCATAAAAACCCATCCCAGTTTTACACAGGTCCATGCTGCTTTTCAGCGGTGAGATCCACCTCCCTGGGATTTCTGCTCTTCTCCCCTTCCACTGTGCATCTCCACAGAGAACACTCAATGCTTTACCACAATAAGGGCTATCTTCAGTGGGCTTTTTTGTTTGTTTTTTGGTTTTTTGAGACAGGGTCTCACTATGTAGTTGAGACTGACCTGGAACTCACTATGCAGCCCAGGCTGGTCTCGAACTCACAGTGATCCTCCTGCCTCAGCCTCCCAAATGGTGATATTACAGGTGTGCGCCACCATGCCTGGCTTCAGTGGGCTTTTAATAAAGCATCTCTACAATTTTTCTCAAGCTAAGTTTTCCAAATTCCTTCACTTAATTTCCTCTGAAAGGTTTCTCGTTGTGCAACATCCAACCTGAAAACGTGGAACACAGAGCCAAAAAGTAATACTGCAAGTGTGTTAATATGTGAGAGTGCAAAGGCCCAGTCTTCTGATCTACATGCTGTACTTCTAGTGCTAACATTCACCCTACCCACAAGCAGGCATGTATACAACACGCACAGGCCATGCTCAGGACTGGCTCACAGACTACGGCTGATTCACTGCCAGGCAATCAAACACTGAAAGAACCGAGACAGGGAGGGAGGGAGGATTTGTGCAGCTCGTACCTCAAAATACTGCTCAAAGTTAGAAGCTATTGGGCCAGGGATTAGCTCGGCGGTACTGTGCCTGCCTCACAAGTGCAAGGTCCTGAGTTTGATCCCTGGTAAAACAAAAAAAAATTGAAGCTACTAATATAGCACCTTAAACTGAGCTCTGAGAAAGATGCAGCGCTTTCCCATGTACCAGTTTAATGGCTAGTTCTCATCTATGTGGGATTACTGGAAAGGGGTTCAGCTTTAAAGCAAGATAATAAATATCTGAAACTCAAAATAGTGCAAGAATTCTATTATTCTAATTTTTAAATACAGAAGCAGATACTAAAAACAGGTGACACAGAAAGCGAAAGAGTCATAAGTGAAAACTTACACCTTCAAGTCTTCTGGGGGGGAACCACACCCTATCCACCTTCCAGGTTATCCAGTAACAATGACTCACACCATACTGAACTCACAAGACCAACTTCTTAAAACTATTCTGCCTCTTAATCCAAACTTTACAATGTTTAAAGACAGGTATATAATGCAAATTCTAATAGATGAAGTTTTTTTCCTAATACAAGGATTTTAATAAAATTCTAAAATGAGTGACATGAGATTTTAAATTTATCTAATTTTGCAATTAATGCATGTTCATTTTAGATATGAAATTAATCAAAACATAAAGAAAAACCATGCAAAGAAAGAGTTCATAAAGGCAGGGGGAAACACTAACATATTTTCAACACCTCGGGTTTGGTCAGATGTTTAAAGCATGGCATCCAAGACCAAACACAGGACAAGGATGATGGTCAATAGGATCATGGAAAAACACAACACACACATCAGAAAAAAAGGGCAGACTGGTAAAATACACACATCGGAAATAGCTGTTACAAATCAATACAAGGGCCAATATCACAACAGAATGATAGCTGGCCACAAAGAGACACTAATGACCACTGAACACACAAAACCATATTCAATTCTAGCAACCATTAAGAGAAAGTTGCAAGTTAGAATCAAGTTCCTTTTTCAGAGATCAGTGTGGCAAAAATTTTAAATACTGCTTTCAGAATGGCAAAAGCTAAAACACAGAGCTAACAGTCTGTACGAAAACGGGGCCTTTCTGAACTTAGAGCTTCTCTGAAGGGCAACTTGACCATGATCAATAGTTAAAGGGACACACTCCTTGACCAGAATGAATGAACTGAATTACAGCCTGACTGTGACACTGGTTAGGCAGACACTCGACTGCTTAGCCATACCCCACCCCTTTTCAACTTTATTTTTGAGACAAGATTTCACTAAATTGCTCAGACTAACCTCAAACTTGCAATCCTCCTGCCTCAGCCTCCTGAGGGGCTGGGATTACCAGTGTGCCCAGCCACCAGAAATACTTTTTCCTATGAAATTGTCTCACTAACAAACTCAGACAAATACATCAAGATACATGTAAAAGGATGTTCACTGCAGCATTAGTTGTAACAATAAGCAATGTAGGGGAGACATCCATCAATAGAGAGTTAACTTAATAAGTCACAACACACAATGAAAGCAGTTCTACGTGGAAAATTCATAACATTGAATGCCCACACTAGGAAAACAGATCCTATGAAAGTCTCACTAACAAACTCAGACAAATACATCAAGATACATGTAAAAGGATGTTCACTGCAGCATTAGTTGTAACAATAAGCAATGTAGGGGAGACATCCATCAATAGAGAGTTAACTTAATAAGTCACAACACACAATGTGAGCAGTTCTACGTGGAAAATTCATAACATTGAATGCCCACACTAGGAAAACAGAGCGGGCTCAAATAAACAACTTAACGATGAAACTTAGACTCCTAGAAAAACAAGAGCAAGAAAAACCCAAAGCTCGAACAAGAGAGGAAATTATAAAGATCCGAGCAGAAATCAATGCAATTGAAATTAAGAAAACGATACAAAAAATAAATGAAACAAAGAGCTGGTTTTTTGAAAGAATAAATAAAATTGACAAACCCTTAGCTAATCTTATCAAAAAAAGGAAAGAAAAGGCTCAGATCCATGCAATTAGGAATGAAAAAGGCGAAGTCACAACAGATCCGAAAGAAATCC